CTTCCCATTCATAACAGTCAGACAAATGAACAAACATGAACATAAAAGTAAACAGAAATAAACAAAAATAAACAACCAGCATGAGGTAACTGTTCCCCTTGTAAGACACAAGTTCATGACAGAAACATTCATAAATACATATATCTGAATACATCACTTCCTAATCAAATACCAATACTTCCTAATACTAATCAATGAGCCCAAATAACACTACAAATCGCTAATTAAACCTTATCTTCCTACCTCATCCAAAAGGAAAATAGACAGCAACTTTTATTTCAAAGACAAACTTTTGATCTAACAGAACGATTCTACACTAGACCATTTCCCTACTCTCTAAAAACATGCTCATATGCACTATAAGTACTGTATTAGCATGACAGAACTCTCTACTTTCTAATTTCTAAGTTCTAATTTGCTAATTTCCTAATATTGAACGTATAACACACTGGGAATAAACAGTCATAGAAAAGAAAGAATAGCCGACTCTGTTCCCTTTGTAAGATGACACAGTCAATGTCCACAGAGATTCAGGCATTTCATCCGTCTTCCCTATCGTTTGTTATCATTTGAGTCTGTAATGGTTACAGGAGCCATTCATTGATTTTCCATCTGAATGACCCCACTTTTTTGGCGATCACCATCCAGGCCTGCTGTGAACCTGACTGTAGAAACCAGACAGTGTAAATCCCAAAACTGAATTCAAAATATAGCATAACTGTAACACAAGACATTTGTAATGTAACTTAACTACTTATATAAAAGCTCTAGCCAAAAATCTTCTGCTGAGAGATGAGCTGAGAATATGAAAATACTCAGTGACAATTAAGTAGTGAATATATAAATGACAAGATACTAATAACTGCTATGCATGAATTGTGTACAGTATGAATATATTTCTGGAATCTGGTTTATTTCTAACCACTACAGTCTCCAACAGCTTCACATAGCAAGGTGCTATGTTCCATTCTCACAGTCATCTGCCCAGAGAAGAGAGCTGTGCATCCATGATGGCAATTGGGGCTGTGGCTTATTTAAGAGCCACCAATAATAAAGGTCAGTGCTATGTCGGATTCATTATGGGGAAATCAAAGCTTGCACCACGGCCTGTTCATTCTGTTCCATGGCTGGAGTTATGTGCAGCTGTTCTGGCTGTGGAACTGTTCGAACTAATTAGGGATGAACTTGACATTTGTGTGGATGCTGCCTGATTCTTTACTGACAGTAAGATAGTCCTTGGTTACATATACAACAAAACCAGGAGGTTTTACACATATGTCGCCAACCGAGTGACTCGCATCCGAAAATCTACACATCCTGAGCAGTGGCACTTTGTCTCTACAGACAACAACCCCGCAGAACATGCAACCCGACATATACATGCTTCTGACCTTCAACACACAAACTGGCTCTTTGGACCATCCTTCTTAACACAGTTCAACCCAGAGCCATCACAGTCTGGCAACTTCAATTTAATAGACCCTGAAACAAATGTGGAAAGACGGCCTGATGTTGTAACTTTCATCACCAAAACCTCAGAAACCCAGTCATGGTTGAAATCCCATCGCTTTGAAAGGTTTTCTCACTGGATGACCCTGTGTCGCACCATAGCGTCACTCATTCATGTTGCAGCATCATTCAAAGCCTCAAAGCAGGACAGACGTCATGGGCGGAAGTGTTACAGTAAGACAAGTACTACAAGTGAACTCTCCCCGAGCAAAAGCTGTAATTATTCTCACTGTGCAGCTTGAAACATTCAAAGAAGAATACAGACATCTTGAAATGAAACAAACATTAACAAAACAAAGCTCCCTCAGAAAGCTAAACCCAATCATTGATGAGGATAGATTGCTTAGGGTTGGTGGTCATCTGTCACCTGCAAATGTGACAAAGGAAGAAAAGCACCCGCTTATAATACCCTCTACTCACCACAGTGCTACTCTCTTAGTGAGATATTATCATGAGAAGGTTGCACACCAAGGGCGTCATATTACAGAGGGAGCTATCAGAATGGCGGGATTGTAGATAATTGGGGGCAAACGACTGATTTCATCTACCATCAACAAATGCATCATCTGTCGTAGACTCAGGGGGATCTTACAAATTCAGAAGATGGCAGACTTGCCAGTTGACAGACTCTCACCAGTGCCACCTTTCACCAACGTTGGCCTTGACATCTTTGGCCCATGGATAGTCACAACACGGCGCATGAGAGGAGGCAGTGCAAACAGCAAAAGGTCCACTGTACTTTTTACGTGCATGTCAACAAGAGCTGTTCACATCAAGCTTATTGAATCCATGTCCACATCCAGCCTCATAAATGCACTGAGAAGATTTTTCTCTGTTCATGGACCTGCAAAACGTCTCCGATCAGACAGGGGCACTAATTTTATTGGTGCGTGTAAAGAACTGAAAATTGACCATAGTGATGCTACACTGAACAACTATCTTTAGGAAATAGGTTGTACATGGGAATTCAATCCCCCACATTCATCACACATGGGTGGTTCATGGGAACGACTCATAGGGGTTGCCAGAGGAATCCTGGATGCAATGCTTCTGCAATCTGTACATCCTCAGCTCACACATGAAGTATTGAGTACCTTGATGGCTGAGGTAATGGTGATAATGAATGCCAGACCACTGGTGCCAGTGTCTACAGACCCAGACATGCCAGCAGTTCTTACGCCAATGATGATTTTGACTCAGAAAACAAGTGCTCTCTCAGCACCTGCAGGCAACTTTGACCCGACGGAGCTTCATACAAAACAATGGAAACAAGTTCAGTGTCTCGCAAACAGGTTCTGGAAGAGGTGGAGAGGAGAGTTTCTTGCCACTCTTCAGAGTAGAAGAAAATGGACGCAGGACAGGCCTGACATCAAAGTCGGAGATGTTGTTTTACTGAAAGACAGTCAAACCCACAGAAATAACTGGCCCGTGGGACGTGTCATTAAGACATTCTTCAGCCATGACAACAAGGTCCGCAAAGCTGAAATAAAGACAGTATGAGAAGGGACTGTGAAAGTGTTTCTGAGACCCATAACAGAGCTGATTGTTCTTTTGTCTGAGGGGCTGTAAAACTAAAACAAAAAAAAAAGTTTTATTGCAGATTTTATTTTGACTTGGTTTAGTGTGTTTAAGTGGTACAATCATATTCTACCAGGCGGGGAGTGTTCTGCCCTCTGTTTTAGTGCATTTGGTTTTATTGTGAGTCATGCAGCACTGCCCCCTGTGGGTTATACGGCAGCAGTAATCTTGAGAGACGTTCACTTGAGAGAGAAAGTTAAGTCAGTCATAGTAGCCTGCAAGGTTTATGTTGCGAAAATCTGCTACCTCCCAGCGTTGTGCCTTGGACACCATTCGTCTTTTACAAAAAACAAAAAACAAAAAAACAAATAAAGTAATTCGCCAGTGAATAACAAGAAACGTCATGCCTTGGTTTTATTGGGGAATTACACCCTGTAAGCTGACTGTCTAGCTTTGAAGACGGACTACTTATGGCGAGGACAGTACAGTAAGGCCAGCCAGGGACAGAGGCAGTTCAAGAAAACAGGCAATAATTAGCCGATTGAGGATTGGGCACAGTAATGTCAATGACATATTATTCATTATAGGGAAGCATCCAACGGGTTTCTGGATGCAGTGTCAGGAAATAGAATCTGTACAACATATTATTTCATGCAGGGAATATGCAGAGGAAAGATTAGAAATGATTATGCAGCTACATAAGTTAGGAATGTCGGAAATTAGCTTAAAAAGTATCGTATAATATGGAAGTGATGGGCAAGGAAGAATTCTGTTCGATTATTTGAGAGCCACTAAACTGATAAGCCGTATATAGAGCAACAGGGTGTTCATGTGGACCATAACCAGAAGGTGGCGGCAATGCAATGCTCTGGATGCCAACCACTGTAAAACTGCAGAGGAGAAGAAGAAGAGTCTATGGTGTTTTTTTCCTGGGTTGATGGCCTTCTCTAGATCTAGCCCGTCAAAACTGCACAGAAACGAGAGCAACGTTGGATAAAGTCAGTGAAATGTGTGTTAACCTTTATTGTCATATCTCTGAGTTTATATTAGATCGGATTACAAGATTAGTTGAGGACACTGTAACTCACTGCTATTAGGAATTGTTTTGTGACTGCCTCGCTATTAGCATGGCTAACAGTTACTTCAGTAACCTACAAGCATATGATTACTAATCTTACGTGATTATTAAAGTTAATAGGAAACATTTCAAATTTAACATCCGACAAACAGTTGTTGGATAATAGCATTATGATGCACTGGTAAACAAACGTAAAGGTATCGTACAGAAATCCCATGTTTAGCCGTAAAACGCTAACAATATGTGATAGCAAATTTTAATTCGCAAAGTCAATTTCAACTCAGGTGACCTGTAATTTAGTAGTTTGTTAGCTATCTGAAATTCAGAAGCCATTAATTGCTTATTGGTGGTTCAGGTGCACAGTAGTAGGGTTATTAACTACCTAGATTTACATTTCCTTACCGTATATTGTCTGATAAAAGTTAATTTATCATCGGTAGCATACGACGTTTTAAGGTTATGTTAAATGGCAACCTAGTTAACAAAAAAAGATGCGAAATTAGCTGTATTTCATGGTACGTGATTAGATTGGTTAGCCCGAATTAGAATAGTTTGTACCTGGTCATTTTCTTTATTTTTGACTTTCTTGAGCCGCCTTCCACAACGTGTTAATGTTAAATTAACGTTAGCCATTAACTAGCTGTTCGTTGTAAATTTAGCACTTCTGCCTTATGAATAGAATTTGGTGTCGTGTTTCGCCTACGGCAGTGGGGCAAAGGAGAACTAGATTCTACACGACTAGTTGTCTCCATTAAAGAACATTAACTCGAGCAGATATTATTAAGACATTTTAATACTTAATAAATATTTAATTTGAATATGTTTTTTATACATTTAGGGAGTGATCTCTGTGACACTTACTCCCTTTTATTCTGGACAAAGTTTGTGCCTTGTCATATACTTATGTTACATAAAAAGTACTGTGTACATTCACAGAGTAGCAAAACTAATGAAATTCACAAACATATTATAAGAAATAAAACCATACTATTAGAGCTAAAATGAGTATTGCATTAATATCAACAGAATCACCACAAAATTAATTTCCAAAAATTTGTAAATTGATTATTATAGTTGTTTATTCAAGCTAGAGTGATAAATATTCTCTGGTTTCCACGTCTTGCTTAATTACTGTATGTTTTATATTTTGTTAAACAGTGTTTTGTGCTGTTGTTTTGATAAGATATAAGGATAATTACATTATTTGGCCAAGCATGTTACACACACAAGGAATTTGTTTCCGATACAGAACCGAGGCAGCCATCTGTGGTGCCAATTCACACCGATGGCTGGAGTCATCAGGGGCAGCTTTGGGGTTCAGTGTCTTGCCCAAGGACACTTTGACATGTGGACTGCAGGCACCGTGATTCGAACCTCCAACCCTCTAGTTGGGAGACGACTCCTCTACTCACTGAACCACAGTCACCCATACGTTACATTAGTGACATTGTCTGCTATTAAATCAAATAATGTTAATTTCAGAGCTATAAAGGGCGTGGAGTGCAGGGGGCTATTGTTTTAAAAGGTGCATTTAAAGGTCTTACAGATACTTTGCTTTAATGGGCCATTAAAGGTAGGCTAGTCATGTCAATATCCTTATATCGTGTTTATTCATTAGCTGGAAAATTTGTTTGGTTTTTCATTTCAAAAGATTCTTAACTGTTAGATGCATATTAATAACAAAAACTTAAAAACGGACTATAGTTCTGGAAATAAAAGTGAACTGAACCAACACCATGTAATCAGTGATGTACAACTCAGACTGTGTCAGTTTTAAAAGTATTTGAAGATGGTCCTGTTTCATTTTTACTGCTTGTTGCATTCAGCAGGTGCTGTTGGGATTGACTGAGACTTGGGCAGGCCAAGAGAGATCCACTGTTCCTTTCCCCGACCTCCTCTTCCTGATCATCTCAGAAACGCATCTCTCACCATGAATGAAGTTAATGTAATCAGAGAGGGCTGGCTCCACAAAAGAGGTAAGAAACACAAGGATCAGTAAAGTATTTTCATGCTGACAATTCACAGTGAAAGTAAGGTTTGATATTATAGTCCTTGAGTTCAGTTTGGTAAACATCTACAATTATTAACTCTAGATGTCAATCAGATTGAGCTAAAGGGTTTGTCTTAAATTACCAGTGATACTCATTGATGGAGTGATTGTAATTTTATATGTCTTTCTGACCCAGGTGAATATATCAAAACATGGAGGCCCAGGTATTTCATTCTGAAGAGTGATGGTTCCTTCATTGGTTACAAGGAGAAGCCTGATCTAAACGACCAGACTTCACCACCTCTCAACAACTTCTCAGTGGCAGGTCAGTCCTCCTGATGGTAAAACTTAACTCTGGACAATGGGCTTTTCTTGGTAATTTCTAGAACTAACAGTGGTTTAAGTTTGATACAGTTCTGACTCGATTTTTTTAAATCTTCAGGAGTTTCTGGTAAACATTACTCTTGTGTATTTCACAGAATGCCAGTTAATGAAGACAGAAAGACCCCGGCCCAACACGTTCGTCATCCGTTGCCTACAATGGACCACGGTCATTGAACGCACCTTTCATGTGGACAGTAATGAGGACAGGTAAGAAGAGGGTAAAATATTATATAAAGGAGGGTGCCATTCTTTTTTTCAAGGCTTGTATCAAATTATGGCAGGAACTTTTTCAGTGATGCCGAAATGGCACCTCATCTGTTTTACAGTGTTATGCAACATAAAATGTATTTTCTGCAAATTATTTTAAATACCCTTACCATCCAATGTCCATAGCCTATATTTATGAAATTCAGAAAGAGGGATACTTATGGGAAAACCAGCACCTTTCCACTTCTTTCTATGTAGTAACTGCAGTGCTCTAAAGCCAAGCAGCCAACATGATGACTCTGATGACAATGAAGATGATTAGTCTATCATATTTCAGTTGAAGTATAAATTGATGAATTGCATGCATGCTTTGCCGTTAGTGTATGTGATTTATTTATAACCCATTTTTTTTCTTCTGAAGAATTTCTGCTCTTTGGTGATGTCTCTGTTGGACTTGCCTGCCTAGTGCCACCTCATTTCTGAGTTAAAGTTATGACAACCTCAAATCAGAACAAGTTGGGACAGTATGTAAAATAATAATTAAAACTAAAAATAATGATTTGTAAATCATCTGTGTCCTATTTTACATTGAAAACAGCACAGCAGCACATTATTTGATATGATACTTCATCAATTTTATTCTTTGTTTACAATAAACACTCAGTTCAATTCTCATGCTGCAACACATTCCAAAAAAGTCATGATGTGCCATTTCAGGGCCAGTAATGAGGTAAAACAATGATATTCTATTTACATTTGAGACAGGTGATGTCAACGGGTGACTACATCATGACTTGGTACAAAAGTGGCATCCAGGAAAGGCTGAGCCCTTTAGGAGCAAAGATGGGCTGAGGACCACCAGTTTCAGTGTCTTGCCCACACTTCGACACGTGGACTGCAGGCACTGAGATTTGAACCTTCAACCTTCCGGCTGGGAGAGACCGCTCTACCCACTGCACCACTGTCGCCTCCCCATTTATTTTAAACAAAAACTAAAAATGATGAGGTATCACATCAAATTATATGCTGAATTATTTTCAATGTAAAACAGGACACACATGATTTACAAATCACTATTTTCAGAAGTTTTCGAAGTTTGATTTTACATATGCCCCAACCTTTTCTGATTGGGGATTGTAATAGCCTGCTACTTAAAGAAGGACTTGGTGGGTTTCAGCCGTTGCTAATTTTAAACTGGGACTTCACTATACTTGGGCAGTGCGCATGCAAGACTTAAGTGTTAGATCCGTTCAATCCGCATTGACTCCGATCTCCGTGCAACATCTCTTGTCAGAACAGCTGTCTATCAGCAGGAGGACAGCACAGTCTTCACCAGGCTGACTGACAGCAGACATGCACTGGACAAAAATAGTGTTAATGTAGGCTCATCATCAACAAAAAATCATCCATCCATTTTCCTCCGCTTATCCGGAACCGGGTCGCGGGGGCAGCAGTCTAAGCAAAGATGCCCATACTTCCCTCTCTCCAGACACTTCCTCCAGCTTCTCCGGGGGAATGCCGAGGCGTTCCCAGGTCAGCTGAGAGACATAGTCCCTCCAGTGTGTCCTGGGTCTTCCCCGGGGCCTCCTCCCGGTGGGACATGCCCGGAACATCTCCCTAGGAAGGCGCCCAGGAGGCATCCGAAACAGATGCCCAAGCCACCTCAGCTGGCTCCTCTCGATGTGGAGG